AACTGAATATTAAGCATCTTTTAATCTCAATTGTAGTATTGGCTCGCCGACAATAACAAATCCTGAATACACAGTAGTAAGGACGCAAACCCAGCAATTACCACTGAACATCCGGGTGAGGGGGGTATTTTGGGGCAATGACGTTAGAGAGTCGGAAGCAGCTAATAGATGGCGACCGTATCAGTAAAAAATCTTGTTATCATTTTGTGCAAAGGAGTGGGCAATCTATAGTTGTCTTCATCTATGATCTATGTACCCTATCTATGTATAGTATGTATAGTATGTAGTCTGTGTATGTACCATAGAGAAAGTAAAATAATTATTTTACTTACTCTATGGTATGTACTAGACCTCGTCATCTGGTGGACAAGCGTTTCAGTGACGAAATGGTTGACTGCTTCAGTATTGAAGAACAATCAATTAGTAAAATTAAAATTACGGTCTGGTAGAAATGCAAGTGGCCTTCCTCGAGCTTCTTTGGAAACAGTCAAGATTCTTTTTTTAGACTGCGTGAAAAGTTTAATAAACAAGTCGTACTGAGAAATCGCTTTGCTCCGTATCAAAGACGTGGCAAAAGTGCTGCCAGTGCGGTTTGTTGAACGGTGTGTGCTTGAAAACGTTGCACACATCTGAAAGATAAGCCAAATTGCAATTGTCTTGCTAGCCACGCTCTGGTTCTGCTTTAGCGTTTCGGTTGCTGGGGCTGACGATTACTGCTTCAAAGGAGGAAAAGACAACGAAAAACAGGCCAGAATTCACCATGCCAGGTAGGCAATTTTAAAATTTTACTAAGTTTTGTTAAATCAATTAGTTGGCTTAATAAACTTCTTGGCCGAGTAGGCGTTGGTAACGCCCAGTTCACTGCACTTGCACATGTGCAGTGGCTCTTAAGGGGAAAGTTTAGTAATAACAGAGACAAGTATTCTCTCAGTCTCCTCTAGTAATAATCCCCACTAAAGCACAGTAGATGAGCTTGGGACATCATGGGATCGACGTTCAACTCTCAATTCGAGAAGCTACGAAAACCAAGTTTCTGGCCAGGGAAATCCCCTGAACCCCAAAATTTAGTGCAATTTTGGAAAAATCTCGTTTCCACGTACTGTTCTTGAAAAAACCTGCTCAAGTGGGAAATTAATTCAATGTCTTCAGTAACAATAAGTTTTTTGTCGTCCTTGCAGTGTTGTTTTGCTTGGTTGAAGTTATTGAACAGTTAAATTAAATTAAATGCTTTTAGTATCATGCGGATGTTGATAAAGCGGCAATCTACAGTCTGTAGGTTTGATAAAAAAAAATGTTCTTTTATTAGCTCTGTAGTCGATTTTTTTTTAAATGCAGTTTTAATCTCCTCCAGAGCACACTACTGTAACAGTAACTGGACCACCAATGCGGCCAGCAGGATCTTGTCCTGTTTGTGGAGGAGGTTCTTGGACTGGAACCTACTCGTGCATGGCATGGCTGCTCTGTTTATTCTGCTTCTGGAATTGTGGACTTTGCTGCTGCCTCTGCATGCGCAAAAAGAAGTGCACCAAGTGCGGATTTGCTGTTGCATAAGTCCGAAACAGCATTACTTATTAATTACGTATAACTGTTAGTTTTAACTTGTTTTTCGGTGCTGTATACACATACATTTCGCAAAGAACCACTATTCGCTTCTGTCCAGTATTAATAGGTTTTACTTCCTTCGAAGTATTGTAATTTGTGCTCTACAAAGACGGCGAACCGAGAAATTGTACTTTTGTCAACTTTGCCTTTGTCGCCAAATGCCACTTCGTTAGCCTACTGTGCTAGTTTTAAGTAATTTTTTTAAAATAAACAACATTTTAAACCTATTTCGTGTTTGATTGCCTTTTCATTCATCAATGGATAAAAATCTAGCCCGCACCTGTATGAACAGTAACAAGTTCGGTTAATCCCAGTCAAGCCTCTAATCTACAACTTTATCGCTCGAATAATGTTTCCTGCGCAAAACAATTATTTGTGGAATGCGATTAGAATGTATGCGAAATGAGACAAGCATTTTCAAATGTGTTTCGGATACTACAGGATTTTTTTGGTACACAATGTATTCTGGAAAAACGCGTTGAGGACCTGAAAGCCGAGGGTAAAAACCCTGTGGGTTCTTTTTCACGAACCAATCCGGAATAATAATCGGAACCAAATCCGCACTATCAGTAAGCTGTATTGAATACTTGGACCCAAATTTCGATATGTAAAGCGGTGATTTAGCGAAAAGCTTCAGATCAGCTTAATATGAAAATACAAAGCGGCCCAAATAATTCCCAAAGTTTAAAAAATAACTACGAAAGAACCAATAGCTCAATCGATACCAAATTTACCCTTTCAGTCAGTTGATGAAGACGGGACTAAAAGTTCTACATGTACAAGGACAAAATAATGCTAAGCTTACCGAAAGCTGCGTAGTGCCACCTGGAAGGAAAGAAGAAAATGTGTTTAGTACAGCAGGACATCTGTCCAAAGCCAGACTTATTTGAAATCAGCAAACCAAAGAGAGAAAAGTATGAAGAATCCATAAAACTTCAGGAAAACTAAACTCAGTTCAAGCTAAAAGATTTATATACGATAGACATCGTTCTTTCTAGGTTTTTGCAGCTGGCGCCCCGTCCTCCATTTTCTACTCATTTACTCTCAAGAAGTTCACTACACTTTCACCAACTACCGCACTTTCCATAAGGGCCACAATGATTCTATGTCAGACTAAAATTACAAAGTTGTTATTTTTTTCGAGGAATATTTTCTTAGTTTTAATTATTTTTTTTCGTTTTTTTATTTATTTACTTATGTCCACAGCGACATTGTCAAAAAAATTAAATCAAAATCAATTCCTTGGCTTCAGTCATTTATTGTCTATTTATCAATTAAAATACGTTTCGGTTTTTTCCACCATCATCAGTTTCTATGTGTAGCGTTGTTGCTACTTTAAGCCTTGGCATATATTTTGCAAAGGCTTAAAAAAATATATGCCAAGGCTTAAAGTAGCAACAACGCTACACATAGAAACTGACGATGGTGGAAAACACCGAAACGTATTTTAATTGATAAATAGACAATAAATTGATTTTGATTTGGAATTGAAACACAGTCAGGAAAGTATGTACATTGAAATTTAATCAAATTACGCTCTAGAAGCTCGACATTTTTTTGGATTAATTGGTTTTGAAGCGACCACAGTTTTGCCCAAAGCAAACGATAAAAGCGCATTGTAGCGCTTCCGTTTTCTCAGCGGAATTTTTTGAAATTATGTGATAAGTCACATTTTTATCTGCAGCTTTGTTGATGATTTCCTCGAATTTGTTGTGTTTTTAATTGAAGTGCGGCGATGGAAGCAACGAAAGTCCAACAAAGTCCGCGGATTTCTTTGAAACAATTCCCGGATAAATTGGAGACATCAAGGACTCTAAAACAATGAGCCAAAGAATGATAACAAAGCAACTTGTTTTGTGAGAAAATCTAGAAAAAATAAATTAGTGACAAACTGAGGTGTAAGCAAAACGATTTCTAGGAAAAGAAAATTGCTGGATTTTCAGTCATCGTTCCAAGATTAAATATTATATATGCATTGTTTTCACCCATTAACTCTTCTATTTATCAATAAATCGCAAATTTGCGGATATTTCTGTTGATGACTTTTTGGTTTTTAAGGCTCATCTATCCATATTAAAATTATATTGCGATTATTTCAGTTCTTCGCTGTTTTGAATTAAACTGGGGCGAAATCAACTTAAATCCGACAACTTTACGATATGCCTAGAAACATTTGCAATTTTTGTAGAAAAGAAATATCAAAGTACCTAAAACAGTTAGTTAAAATCAGCATGAGGTAAGTGAGCAAATCTGAGGTGAAAGTAAAACCCTTTCTAGATTTAGAAGATTAGATTAAGAAATTAGCTGGATTTGCAAATTAGTGAAAATCCATTGGCCCTTTAGATTGTGCGTTATTTTTACCCGTTAACTGTTCTAGTTAATAATAAATCCACATTTTTATTGACGAATTTTTCGGTTTTAAGCGTTATACGTCTATGTTCAAACTAGATTTCAATACTTTCATCAATTTGCCATCTTTAGTTTGACTGGAGTCACAAAATCAACTAAAGTTCGACAACTTTACGATATTCCTAGAACCATTTGCAATTTTTGTAGAAGAGAAGAATAAAGTACCTAAAATAGTGAGCCAAAAAACAACAAATAAGTAAGCAAATAGAAGGTGAAAGTAAAACTCTTTCTAGAAGACTAAATGTGCTGGATTTGCAAATTAGTGGAAATCCATT